AATCAGGTATAAAAATTGCTCGGAAATACATTATCTTGTCTGACAATCAGGATAATAATTGCTCAGAAATATATTATCCACCAATCAGGAGAATAAGTGCTCAGAAATTTATTACTGTATCTTGTCCACCAATCAGGAGAATAATCTTGTCCACCAATCAGAGCTCTTTATCTGTTTATCCTCTCTTGCTCAGGTAAAATTATGTGACTTGTTCTTGGTTTCCATCCTTGTTCATTTGTGTATTTCTCTATTGGTGTATTGGTATGCCATAATATTCTCTTTGTTGTGAAATCACCTGAAAATTGTTCATAATTTGGAAGATTCAAATTAACAAGGATTATCTCTGATATTCTGGCTGTGTAAGGAAAAAAACAATCACATACACAAACACAAGAACATAGGAAAGCAGTAACTGTGGTCTTAAGAAATATTTCGTACAATTATATGTGTGGGACACCTTTCCCCTTTTAACACCAACTTCTTGCGAGGCTTATGACTTGGGAGTTTCCAGGAGTTCATATGCAACCAGTAGTTGTCCGTTGTCTCTATGACTGTGCGCAACGGTAGCTACGTTCATGAAAGAAAATTCTCAGATTTCCTCTTGGTATGCCTCTTGTCTGGTGAAGATGGTACAGTACTGTAGTTTGTTCTTCTGTCACCCCACAAATAACTTCACTTAAGCTGTACTTTATTTTAATTTTTTGAATAATTTTTATTTATTTAATTTTTTTTTCAAAGTTGATATGTTAGGCTATCACTTATTATTATTTTTTATTTTTATTTATTTGTTTTTTAATTTGTCTTTCCTGTGCTGTTGGTAAATATAAGAAGTATAGGAGTTAAAGTTAGGACTTAATTTTATTGTTTCACATAAAAAATTATCTTGAGTTATTTATCAATGTTTTGAATTGTTCACATGAACGTAGGTACTCTGTGCTGCTTAAGATTTGATTAAAAGGCTTGAAAGTTGCATGCCACTTGTCAAATGCACTAGTTGCTACCTATTGCATGCACTGGTTCCCTCTTCTCTAGCCAGTGTACAAGACGAGAACAGTGTTGACCAACGGTTGATGCATCTGCAGCAAGACTCTAATGTTTTTAAGGGAACTGAGCATCCTTGTGTGCAGGTACATTTATTGTTGAGTTTGTTTTCTCCTGTGCTAGGTTAGAAGCCAGGCTTCTGTCCTATGCTTATGAGGGTAACTGCCATTTTTCTAAGATTAATTAAGAAGATATTTTTTGACATTTGGACATAATCATGATTTAGGGTCTTTACGGATTTTAACATTGAATACATCAAAGCATCATATGAAGGATGTTAGTTTTGGAGTCTAATGTATTAAATTCAAGCTGTTATGTTTTCACAAGTGATGTAATGATTCTGTTTACTACAGTTTACAAATTACGTATAGTACTGATACGACTTGTAGTAATTTTAAATATTTTGTTTATTATACAGACGTACAGTATAGTTTGATTTAGAATTATATAAAGTGACATGTTGTATTTTTTATCACCATCATTATCTTTTATTATGGCTGTGTTAAACATGAAATGAAATACAGGGTACAGTATAGTGTAAGTTTTTCTAACAATACAGTATATAGTGTAGTTATTTTAGCTGTGGTAACGACTGTTTTTAATGTCTTGTATTTTTTTATTTGAAGTACTGTAGCTCTTTGAATTATGATTATGACCAAATGTTGATAATATCTTGTGTGTGGCATTTTTGCCACTTGTATTCTGTGTGTTGGTGGCTGGTGGGTGTCCACAGACCACAGATTGGACTGGAAGGTCAACCCACTACCATGCATGAATAGATTAGTATATTTAGTCTTGAAAGATATTTAAAGTTTTAAAATTTTAATCTTAATTATATTGATTGTTATTGGTCTTCTCTCAAGTACAGTACATGGAGCTTCACAACTTGCTGTTTACTGCCAGGAAACTTTATATATAATTTGAATTTCATTGCTTGTGCATGCCATGACCACATAGCACAAGTCTGATATACTGTATATATCTTTACTTTGAAGTGTACATATTGTATGTACATAAATCCTTTTGAACGGCTAGTTTTGTGGAGTCATATTTTGTCCATGTAGCTGGGTTGAGACCTTTTTCAATTTTATATAGCTTGAGGAGAATCTGTATTGATTACGTTAAAATACTTTCTGGCAAGCTAATTCTGGTAGTATTTCATATCATGAAGCCTTAATTAAAACCTCAGGAGCACACCACTGTACGTACGTGGTTTGGGATGAAATTTTTCACTAACATACTGTATTACAAGTATATTGACAATATTATATAACAATTCATTGCTCTTAATGCAGAATAACTGAAATCCTGATGTAGAAAAATATATAACGGAGGAAGAGGTGAGCGAGAGTAAAATTAAAACTAACAATACAAGAATGATACAGTACAATATAATACTGTACTGCATCTTGTGATTAAGAAATATCTAACAGATCAGTAAGCAAGCTTTAGTGACATGTCTATTCAATTTCTACCAGTTACTCAGTACACAATGATCATAGCACCATGTAAGAATGGTGGTCTTGTAAGTGAAAATGGTTTTACTTACTGTTCATATACAGTAGTTTTCATTATTGTACTTTGAGAATGATATATAATTGGTTAATACTGTACAGATTTTCCTCAATTTTTTTCTTGGTCATGTAAATGGATTTTGATTTAGTTAGTTATCAGTGAATATGAAATTTTATGATCTCTCTGATATATATATATATACTGTGTATATATATATATATATATATATATATATATATATATATATATATATATATATTATATATATATACAGTATTATTATTATTTTATTTTTATTTATTTTATTTTTTTATGAGTCAACTACTAATCTCCTATTTGTGTTGCATCGTATAAATAAGATCTTTTGAATGCACGCCATATTGTATAATCTTTACATTAGCTTGGTTTGAGAAGCAAGTTATCCTTAAATAGATCAATATCTTATTTACAGATCTGACACAAGTAGTTCTCAGTTGCACTCAAAGATTTGCACTTTGTAAATATAATTTTGATATATATAATACTTTTTGTAGTGTTTCATTTCCTCTTGATTATTCCTTTCTTGGCAAGCATTTTGTTGAGCCTTAGATGACATATCAATAAGTCTGTTTTCCTTTCCTTATAGTTACTACTCACTCATCCAATGGGTTTTATTACAAGCAAGTTTTGGGGCTGTTGGTTTTATGTTTTCAGTGTTTTCTGTCCAGTGATTACTGAAGTCTATATTGATTTTGGCAGACATTGATTACTGATACAGTGATAAAGCCATGTTGTAGTGCAGCACCAGAGCGCTCTAGTAAGTAGTCAGGATACTACAACTGTTTATAAAGTGCTGGATTTTATCATGTGTTACCAGGGGCTAATCTTGTGCCCAGTTATATTATCTGCTCACTGAATCTCGATTTAAAATTTCTATTGCACTCCAGGTCTTGCAATTCATACGTGTTACCTAAGGAATTCAATGTAAAGTAATACTGTACCATCTCCTTAATAAGACTGTTACAGGTAGTAGTTTCCGTGGTCGATAAGAAATGAATCATTACCACTTAGCCTTAATTTTGTTTATGATCTCCTTATAGGAAATTAGTCATTATATATACCAAGTGTTACTTTTCTATTAAGTGACTACTTATACTATACTTATATCAAAAAGTTTGTTTCATGATCTTATACAGTATGATATATTTGTATGGTAACAGCATATTACAACTTCAAACTTAAATTTGGCATTAGACTTATGTGTACTCTCCTTATCATAGTACAGTATTTGGTAACATCCCCAGGCTGGGAACTGCTGACACTGTTTTTTTTTCTCAAATTATGTAAATATGAACAATTGAATTACTTACAGTGCTGTACTACTATAATATTATAAAGTTTTAAATGAGTGTTCTTACGATAGATAAATGCATCACAAATATATTTTATGAATTGAATTTAAATTTGGAGATACAGTACTTTAACTGTACGTTGACTTGAAGATAGTAGTCATTTTCTCTTTTGGTGACATCATATTTGGTTCACCACATTATTGGCTGTTTCCTTTAGTTTGTGTTCATTTATTAAACTTTAAAAAAGTGCACATATGTGTCCAGAGTTTTGGGCATGAAAATGTGTTGATATCAGACTTAGTGACCATGGGTACAGTATAACTTATTAGTTTTCCTGAGGAGTTGTCCATTAATAATAATAGCATATGATTATTGAAGAGAACCATAGCACAGCTTCTATTTATAAAAGGTTATTTTCTGATCATATAAGCTTTAAATATTTTCTGAAGAATATTTTTTTGTAGTTATCACCTGAAGAAAGCGTGAGGGTATATAGCAGTCTTCTTGTTTTTGTCTACTTACAATGCCGTATGTACTGTACATTTATTGTCGAAAGTGTCCACTCGTATACGTACTTTGAAAGACTCGGCAGATTTCAATAAAAATTGGCAAAAGGATTTAGATTACTTACAGCAAGACTGAGTTTGATAATTTACCATTTTCCATATACAGTACAGGTACTGTACTGTATCTTTGCCAAATTATGGTCATACTAAGAGAGTATCCAGCACTTGCTTATTTTGTTACGAGCTGTAATCAACGTAAAGTGCTAATAATACAGAAACTTTACCATATTGGCTTGCTGTATCAGTATTGAATACGTACTGCATATGATAAATTGTTCAAGATAACTCACTGCACTCTCTCAGCCATGGACAAATAGCACACCTCTTTTGTATATATTGTATGATATCCTCATGGATGAGTTAGTAGGACTGAACATTGAGTGGCAAGGTGAGGCTTACTGAATCCTCCTTAGATCATATTCATAATCTTTAAGGGGGTTTATACTGGACTCGCCTTTCACCCATTATTCAGTTGGAATCTGAGACTTATTGACCCCCACATCTAAGGCTCATACTCACTAATCTTGGCACAAAACTTCCCCTGCAGTTGATGCCGATGAAATCCGCCGACTCGGCAAGCGATTCCGCAAACTGGATCTTGACAACTCCGGTTCTCTTTCTGTGGAAGAATTTATGTCGCTTCCGGAACTTCAGCAAAACCCGCTGGTCCAGCGTGTCATAGATATATTTGATGCAGATGGCAATGGAGAGGTGGATTTTAAAGGTAAGGCAGCCATTAGTAGGCTAAGCTTTCCCGTTATGGACACCCATCTCTGGTTAAGTCAAGTGAGTAAGAGATAGTGTGGCTGCCCCACCTAATTCTTGAACTTTTAAATCTTATTAATGTCATTTATGCTCATCCTTAACTTGAACATTGACAATGCTGGTAATTGATACTTGTTCAGTTGTACTCTAGCCCTAGAAACCACCATCTGAGTTATACTGCAGATATAAAGAAAATTCTCCCCAAACCTTCCCAAGAGGAGGGGAATATTCCCTCCAGCACCCTCCCAGTATAGTACTGCACACACCTGGCACAACTGTTGGCATTACTTCAGTGCCTCAATCTCATTTTTCCATTTCCCTGGCTTCCCCTAAAAATATATTTGACCAGAACTACCATTGCTACAATATACTTACTTAACCCTTAAATGGTAGTCAACATCAATTGATGTTTCTTTCTTCCTGCATTCCATTTTTGTGCATGTGGTGGCGTATTAAGAAATCCTTAGCCACTGTTATGCAGCCACCTATGGAACAAATATTGCAGCCACCTATGGAACAAAAGATATGATGTGTTTTTGTAATGTCCATTCCAAAGCCACATCCCTCATACATTCTCCAGCTGTGATAGCTAAGTCCCTCTGCTTTCAAATGAAGTGTTTCATTTCAGTCATTCTACTATTTTACTCTGACGTCTTTCTCAGAAGTATTACTACTGTATGCTTATTCAGTTTTAGGTACCCGGTATTTGTTTTTAGAGGGTGGAAGGAGATAAATACCAGAATGAGTGCATGATATACTGTACAGTGACCTCTTTGTAACATTACTTGAAAAAGCGCAAAGGTTTGCCAAAAGCAAGTGCTTTTTATTATTTTATTTTTTTATCCCACTTCTGTTGTTTAACATTAAAATGCTGTAGATATGTTCAACAGACTTTTTTATATTTGTGATGATTATTCATCAAGATATACGCCGGGAGGTGGAGTAAATACATTTGTTATAACTATACTTGTTTTACAGAGTTCATTCAAGGCATGTCTCAGTTTAGCGTGAAGGGTGACAAGGAAAGCAAGATGCGATTTGCCTTCCGTATCTATGACATGGACAATGATGGTTACATCTCAAATGGGGAGCTATTCCAGGTAAAATAATGCTATAAAAAGCTTGTATAGTACTATTTATAGAAAATGCTGGTTGATTTATTGATAATATATAATATACTCAAGGTCAAAATTTGGTTAAAATCAGGGCAAACATTAAGTGGTACTTATTAAGACATAACTGTACAGAAGAAACAAATTTTGTATGTATTAGTAATAAAGTACTCTACTGTACTTAATAATTATTAACTTATCATGAGGCGGTTGAGGCAGGAAGTGATTATATGACACTCATAATGTAAGCCACTGAAGGTAGAGTGAAGGTTATGTTTTCACTGCTAATTTCATTGACTGTGTACTGTAAACTTTCTATTTCTTAGACACTTCTTCTGTCTCCTTTGAGGTAACTGTTGAGTTACTCCTCTGTGCCACCACAGTGGCAGTCCCTGCCTACATGAATTTTCCCCCATACTGTACTAACTAGATTTTGGTCATGTTCTTCTCGGTTGGGAATACGTGTGTTCTGTGGCGGACTTCAGTCCGGTTTGGAAGGGGATTCAGATTTTAGAAAGTCTGGGTTAAAGGGAGTTTACTGTATACTTTAATATAATAATTGATTGAAATATAGTGTTGGAGATAAAAGGTCAACATAACCCTCTTTGATAACCCAGTACAATGTATGTGTAATATATAAAAATTGCTCAGTTTGAACTTGCTTAAATCAAAGGTTTCCTATATTTTGACATTTTGATTGCTCCAGGAATCATCCAGGTGTGCAAATCTCAGGCTCAGGTGGGCCTCTTTTAGTAACCCACCACCTGTGGTAGTGGACAATAAGTGTTTTTCTTTAACAATTGTCCATCTGTCTATCTGTGCATGTGTGTCCTGTTGAAAGTTTTTTTCCAATGCAGGGGCATATGTTTTACAAATGTTCTAGTTTTCTGATGTTACTCTTCATATACATGAGTATCTACAAATTTATTTGCAGTTTATGGTAAAGTAAAAATTTTGTGATACTTGTATATGATGTAGGGAATAAATAATTATCAACATTTGTGTATTGATTTGGAACAACTAATATATAGATTCTTTTTCATCAGGTACTAAAGATGATGGTGGGAAACAACCTGAAGGACACACAGCTCCAGCAGATTGTTGACAAAACTATCCTCTTTGCTGACAAAGATGAAGATGGCAAAATAAGCTTTGATGAATTCTGTGCGGTAGTCGGCAACACGGATGTTCACAAAAAGATGGTCGTTGACGTTTAAATAAATTCATGGTTGTTGATTTTGGGTGCCACTGGCCTAAGGTGCAACGTAGCTGTTAATGTTTCTATGGACTGTCTTGGGATAAATGTTTTTTATGATAACAGTTTTAAAGTCAGATCAGTGTTTCATCAGTAGCAATATGGAATCCTCCATTTGATACTCCAGTGATGTAGCAATTGTTTCTTTTTTGTGACAGAATGCAACAGTGTAAGGATGATCTTTGTATTAATGCCATTGACATGCCCTTAGTGTTTCATAATACAATAATGAAATTAGTAGAACAGTATTGGATTTAATATGATGTAGATTTTGAAGTCTATGATAGTAAAAAAGATTAATTTACTATGCAAAAATTGGTAATCAGAGGCACATTTTTTAGACTATTTAAATACAGTACAGTATATTTGTTTGTTGAATTATAGACCTTTTTGTGTTTTCTGGGGCTTTCTTATATAAATATTGTCATATATGTTTTTTAGCTTTTATGAAAACCAGGGCTTCAGTGGCACTGCAGGAAATATTGAGTTTAAGACATTATAATCATTCTCTCCATGTCAGAGCTCATGTATGAAGTGGTTTTGCATTTGATCTCATAATCTTAAAACTATTTGCATCCGTTTTATTGTACTAGATATTTCCCTGTTACTTCATAACTGACTTTGTGATATTTGAAGGTAAATTCCCACACTTCATACAAGCATCACTCTAGTTTTGTTACATATTTCTAAACTTGCATATCATGATGGAGATGTGGTATTGCATAAGTTTTCTATGTTTATTACAAACTGTATTGTATTGTGCATAATTCATCTTCCCCCAGTTGCTGAAGGATACATAGGGATGGTATCCTTTTCCAGTTCCCTCTGCCTTGGGTGCCAAGTCCTCAATATTATATGGGGCTTAGATAGCAAAAACTGTCAGTTTAGTTTTTTCCTACTGAAGTGCAGAGTTATTAATGAGTGTATAGGAACTGTAATAATTGTTTAATCTGGACATTTGGCAATAAATTCACTTAAATTTATTTTTATGTAAATTATGGTGGTTAAACATTGAAGTAGGTTCGAATATTGTAAGTACGTACTGAATTATTATAAAGATGGTGGCTCAGTTTTCCAAGGGAAAAATTGCAAGAATTGTAAGAGAATTGTCAGGTTTTAGTTACTTAATGAAAAGCTATGAGATGTAAGGTTTCAATTATTAAAGTTACAGATTATGATACCAGTACAGTATATTAAAAGTGATACATTAGTTTGTACTCTTAACAGTAACAATATTAACATCAAATACCGAATAAAGACAAGATAATTTAGTTGAAATTCAGATTTCTGTAGAGAGTTGTTTTAATTCAACGTTTAATTATAGATTGTATGTGCACTTAATTTTAATGTATTTAATATTGAGAAATTGAGGACCTTTAATAACTACAAAACATTAAACAAAAAAAAGAGGAACTATGTATCTGTATTATCATTTTTTATTGTTATTTACATATTCTTTAATTATTTAATTATTATTATTTTTTTTTTTAAGAAAATTGTTAAGGCTGAAAGAACGAGGATGTATTGTGTGATCCTAGGCAGTGAGTGCTCCATCACCCATGTGCAATACCCAGCTGCTGCCCGGGCCGAGTTCCTGTGGAGCGCTTTAGCTAGTCACGATGCTCGGTCTCTTTTAGAAGCCATCAATTGCTGTTCTAGGTGGCTAATATGGTGACCACTTTCTAATTTATATTGACCAGGCAGTGAGCCTACTCTGTTCGCACTACACATGTTAAATATATATATATATATATATATATATATATATATATATATATATATATATATATATATATATATATATATATATATATATATATATATATATATATATATATATATATATATATATATATATATATATATATATATATATATATATATATATATATATATATATATATATATATATATATATATATATATATATATATATATATATATACATACACACACACAGTATATATAGTATATTGTTACTCAATTGATTGTACTCTGAATTCATATTTGATACAATATGGTATATGTGGTATAGTTAGTGGAGATAATAAAGGGTCTAAAATATATGAAGAAGGTATAATGTGTAGTTTGAACAGCAAATATTCTAATGTAATGGCCTTTATTCTCAAGTACTGTACCTTAATAAACTTGTTAGTTTTGTTCAACACTGTACTAGGCTGAAATTTAATGACATTAGATGTCTAAACTGTGGTTTTGCAAACACAAACTTGTACAACATATTACTGAGAATATTGGCCTCACTTGGGCTCAAGAGTGTTGATCCTGCTGATACTTGGCTTTCCCTCCATATAAAGGACCATGTCATGACTTAAAGATTTAAACACGCTTTCTATGAGAATTGCAAAGCAGGTGGAGTGTTTTATATATTAAATATTTTATTACCTCTCATATATTTGTTAATTGTTTGATACTTTTTTCTTGTCATTTCAAAACTGAAGAAGGAAGTATGATCCTTATTGCCTCTACCTGATTAACAGACAACTTAAAAAAGTTTCATTATGTAAAAAGATAACATATACAGTCAACACATGCACCACTGAAGTGAAACTATGAAGACAAGTTGTACTGAGTTTTAAAAAAATTGAGTGGACTCGAGTTGCTTTGATTTAGTTCTTTAGCGTCAAGGTAAACTGTAGGCCTACCATTCATATACAGTATGGCAGTCTTGATCTGTGCTAAGTACAGTAAAATGGCCAATTGAAAAGTGTATGTGTAATTGTTCATAAGTAATCTTTCACAATTTCCCTGTCATCTTTCTAGATTAATCGTGGTGTATTATTTGAAATGTTTCTCACTTCAGAAAATTGTAAAAAGTCAGGTGATGTTCATATATATATATAATGATTTTTATATTTTTAATCTCTCCATGAAGGCATAATACGTATTGGAAAATTTTAAGATGAAGACAATCAGATTTTGTACTTTAAATTTGTTTTTTGTAAGTCTAGATTTTTTAGCTAAAGCCATTGTAGTATTGATCATCAAAACTAGTTGAGCATAATTACTTAAAACTAGCTGGGAAGCTTATAATGTCAGCTTTTTCACCACAGTACAGTACAAGGTTTGTTTCATTGCTTATACTCTTAATACCTGTAGTTGCAATTAAGCTTATTCAGTAATTTCACAGTGTTCAGGCGATTTATTTATACTTTTGTAATAACAGAACTGAAATCTTGTGATCTTCCAGACTAATAACTGTTTATATCTTAACTTTACTTTTGAGAGTGAATACTGATAAAGCTCACATTAACTTGTGCTCACTATGTGCTGGCCTGCATGACTAAAGGTGGATAGTGTATAGCTTCATACATACATTGTGTATTCTCTTTTTGGTCTTGACAAATACATTATTTTTCGAAATTAAAATTTGGATTACTTTTTTTTTTTTTATATATATACTTTTGGGAGTAAAGCATAAGGGTCACAAGACATACATGAAGTCAGTTATTTTCTTGGAATTATTAAATATATATAGATATATACATTTTTTAAGATAAGTAAAATGTATTATTTTTAAATAGTGTTATAAGATGAAGTTGAAAATTATTACTAAAGGTAGCAGGCTTAAGGACATACAACATTTTCACCCTAAGGTAAAGATTCAGTTATACTAACGTCATCTAGTTGACTTGTTCCAGGTTCCCCCTCGCCTTTCATCTCTGAAGCCTTGTTGTTGTTGAATCACCACATTTGTTATGAGGTCTGCTATACAGTATGTGTGTTTGTGTGCATGTGTTAAGTGGCTGCCAGAGAGCAGTTCTTGAATGTAGAATAGTTATCAGATAAAGGATGCTATTTATCTTGAATGCTCCAGTTTTCATCTTTCATCTACAGTACTATTTTGTTTGTATTACAGCCAACCACATTATTTATCTTTAATGTATATAATGTTAAGGCAAAATCTTACTTCATCTTCTTCTTAAGATATACTATACAGTAACAAAGACTTTTATAGTGAATGGTTGTTTAATGGTATGAAGGTGATCAGTCCAAGAATGCTAAATAATCTTGTACTTGAATGTAAATTATCTTTCCTGTTACCAAGCTTCATTATATGTACTGAATATATATATATGATATATATTATATATACTGTATATGTATATTTATCAAGCTTAAGGATTCTGTGACCATCCAAGCACTCATAGAAGTGTCATGTATACTCTACATTAGCCATTGTAATGAGTCATCAGGCTGTATACAATCACTCCATGCCAGATATGAATTTTTCTTATTTATTTTTTTCATATTTTTTTATACCTGCCAGTAGTTATGAGATGGATAATTTAATAAAATTCACTTATGCAGTATCTTGTACATTAGATGTTCAGTAATGTTTTAATGGATAGGAGCTTTACTACCATTTGTTTATTATTGAATGACCAACAACTTAAGAAAAATTGGTACCAGAATCCACGTCTGAGAATAGTCAGTGTCTTTCCATAACAAATTTTGTATTGGCTATGCAATATTTTGTAGTAAATTTAGGGGCAGATATCTATCAGTTCCATTTGATAGAAGATGAAGTTTGCAGTTGGAAGAATTTTACTGTTGGTTCAGGCTTGTCATCTGTTTTTCAAGCAGAATATTCTTCCTTTATGTGAAGGTTAAAGAAGGAATGATCTAAGCTAATACATAAAAAAAATTGTGATGGTTATCAAGAGAATAGTAAATTAAAGACACCATGTAACGGGTTTAGAGTCCCACGTAGTAAAAACGGTCACAAGGAACTTGCATATGTCTTGTGTAAGGAGTAATATATTTATGATAAAACAGTAAAATATTATTTTTTTTTACAATGTTATATTGAGCAAATTAATAGTTTTGACCTGTTGTAGCATTCTATTATTTATTTACTAGACCTGTAGATGAGGTGCCACACAGTAATATCAGACTTGACTTTTATTCTGATTAAGGAAACACTACATACTCATCAGATTCACTTTATCACTCCTTTTATCCATGGACTGTTTGCGGGTGCATGAATTGAACTTCTTTGGCACTGGTCTTCTCTGACTTAATTGGTTATTTATGGTCTTTGAACTACCTATTAATGTCTTTTCCCCAGTTTAACTTCCATTTGAGCCCCTTAAAAATCACGTCAAAGCCGAAAACAACCAATTTTGTCACAGTTATGTTCTTATTGATGTATGGTTCAGTAAAGTCAAGATTTTCATTGAATGCTAAATTGGATTTTGCTTTTCCTCTACATTTTAAAACCTGTTAACTGTGTGCAATAATGAAACCACACAAATCATATATTACAAACTCTTCTGAAATCATTAGACTCCATGAACCAGGGAATATCACTTTTTGCTGTTGACTTTAAAAAGCTGCTAATGAGTTATGTAATACAATATAACATTTAAGAAACAGGATGTGGACTTGTGTAAAGATTTCTTTGGGCTATTTCTTTAACTAAAGTCTGTTCTTGTGGATACATAAAATAAGTACTACCCACCCACCTGGCATGAAGATGAAGCAAAGCCTCTGGTTTTGAAGCCAAAGCCATTGAATTGTCACAAATCTGAAGCCAAAGCCACACATTAAAAAATCATGAAGCTGAAGCAAGACATTAAAAAAGTCGTGATGCTTTTATGTTGATGGTAGTATGTATAGTATTCTAAGTAGCAGCTGACATAATCCTTAAAACGAAATTGGTCCATGGGCACAGCCATAATTGATGACGTAGTCACAGAGTAATGACTGCTCAGGGTTTTTTTTTATAAGTGGTATTGTAAGTTAGCTTTGAAGCCCCATTCTCCTCTGCATTATTACAGCCTTTGAAAGTATAAAATTAAATATTAACAATTACAAGTGAAGTATATAGAAGCAAGAGCTAATATAACCCAAGAAAGGTAAAAAGGTGCTCAAGTAACCACAAATCGTAGTAGCCATGGGTGATTATGGTCTCACCCAAAATGATCATCAGTTTATAGTCCTTAGCATCAAAGAAAACGGAAGTATAGAACGGGTGACTGAGCCACCTCTAGGATATGCATCCAACTAAAAGGGATTGAATCACTCCCGAAGATTACTAGTTCCTCATAATATTCCTTCGTCTTGCACTTACAACCTCTAGGATCGACTTCGTTTTAATTGGGATATACAATATTGTGTAATTTGTCTGTAAAGTATTTCATAGAATATAACAGAAAACAAGTTGGATAGGGAATGTTGGTTTTTATTTTCACTACATTTATTTGGAAATGGACGGTGTATCTATTTTGGAAAAAAAAAAATATATATATATATATATATATATATATATATATATATATATATATATATATATATATATATATATATATATATATATATATATATATATATATATATATATAACTGTTACCTATAATATCAATGTTCGTTTTCTTTATATTAGGCTACGACCATTTTCTATTGTTTAGAATCATATAAGAGCTGCTATCAATGGAATGTTTATTTAATGGTTAGTGGAAGAGTAAACCAAAAAAAAAAAA